AGTTTTTCTTGTTTTTTTGCTTTTAATACATGTTTTTGCCATTTTATAATTTAAAACAAAGTAGAAAAGAAAAATATCACAATTCATAATACCAACTACATACTAATTCTGTATCGTATTCACGCAATCCATCCTCAACGAACATTCATTATAACCATTATATGCTTGTTTCAGCTGTCAATGACAAAATATGATTTTATTAATAATATCTACAGGCAGAAATCGGTGGTAGCACTGGCAAGGGAAATAATTATAGATACTTTAACGTTAGAAAGAATGCCAGGAGTTGAAGCAGGAGATGAAGATGGTGGCCTCAAGGGACGGAGGGGCAGTATGTCGGGCCTGTGGAAATAAGAACTTCAAAGCTCATTTTGGCCAGGAGCTCAAAATGTCCTCTCTTTCCTCATAGCTCAATGTGCTTCATCTCTTCTGCTAGTTCTCAGATTAAAAACCAAAGTAATATTTCAAGTAAAAAAAAAATACTGTGACTTGAGGACCCTGAGCCCCAAAGAGCCAGGGGTTAATTATGGACGTGAGGGCCACGCTGTGAGGGACAATGGTCATCAGTTGACCAGCCACCTAGCAGCAAAGTAACCCTGAAAAGCAGCACTGACTCACAGGAAACATGGACCGACTGGTGGATCTGAGAAGAAAGTAAGTGCAGAACGAGCCATCAGACGTGACAACCTAATAATATTGATCAACTTAGCAAATCTCATCCCTCTTCTCCAGGTGACATGTCACATTTCTAAGTGGGGTTTTCACTGTTTCCTAGATTTCTGTTTCCACCTCACTACTTCTCATACTCTCCTCCCCTGTCCCCCTCATTCCTCCCAACTCCTTCTAATTAATCTCACTCACTTCTACCCTATTATGATGCGCAGGCCTCATTTCCTCTACAAAATTTTCCTTCAAGCTAGACTACAAGTTCCTTCTCTCTACTCCTACAGGCTACTGCAGGCCATGGATGTTTCTCCCAGTCTTCCTACACCCTAACACCTAAAAATCTCTCATGCCTGTCTGAGTACACAACCACAGCCTAGCTCATCCTGTGCCTGACTACCTAAAGGTTGGAGTGTGTCAACACATGTGGACATCAGTTAAGTGTATGTGTTTAGGAGGAGGGTGAACATCGCAGGATTACAGCACTGAGCTCTAAGACCAAGACTGGGAATTTGGTTTGTCTTTGGGCTCAAAGTGGAAAGGCCTCAAAGCAGCACCAATGTATCCCCACTTCTGGGAGCACATCTCCAAGTGCATGATGGCAGCTTAGCACCAACAGTAGGGCAGCTCGTTAGATTACTGCTGTAGTTAAAATGGAAGTGGCAGCTACGTTTTGAAATCCCAACTATGGCATGTCTTATATCTCAAAAGTAAGGCCCTATTATGCATATATTTCTAATTCCTATATGTATGATGTCTGAATTATACAATCCAGACTCCCCACTAATACAGAATGGCCTTCATGATAATCTGTTTCTACAAAGTGATCATTTCTCGTTAGGTAGCTGTTGGTGAAGCTTATCATCCTTGTAATGTGGCTTGAAAAAATGGCCTTGCTTTAATAAAAATGTTATTGTTATGCTAGATACAAAATATGTGTCTACTGTTAAATTGTAACATTAAGATTAACGGAAGGTTGGTCTTCTGTGACAAAACAATCCTAAGAAAGGAGATAACCAATTTCTGGTCTGTAGACTGAGCTACATGTGTTCCTCAAACACTTCGGGTGAAGTCCCTGCTGAGTGTTCCAGCAGGGCCATTCAATTTTGGAACAGGAAGACAAGTTCCTAATGCATAATAGAATCTAAATCTTTCAACTGAAATATGTGAGGCTAACTTTAAATATAAAAGTAACCCTCATACAGGACATTTTATCTTCTACTCAAACTCTATCAAGATGAAAGCATAATATTTGTGAGGAAGGCATCGAGTACAAAAGTTGGCTAGTGTTGGGCCAGCCGAGAGGCTCAGTTGGTTAAGCGTTAGCTTAAGAGCGTGAGCTCTGAGCAACAGGGCCCCCGGTTCGATTCCCACATGGGCCAGTGACGCTGCGCCCGAGCTGAGCTGCCGCTGAGCTGCCAACAGCTGGTGAGAGCACGTGCTCCTAACAACAAGACTGCCTGTTTGATGGTGGGCTATGCCCACCCGCAACTGAACTCAGTACCTTGAGCTGAGCTGCTGCCAGGATGGCTCAGTGGATAGAGCATGCGCTCTTAACAACAAGGCTGCCAGGTTCAACTCCTGCATGGGATGGTGGCTACGCCCACCCGCAACTAAGATTGAACACGGCACCTTGAGCTGAGCTGCCACGAGCTGCCAATGGGCAGCCAGATGGTGACTGGACTTGGAGCTGAACTAGCTATGCCCTCCACAACTAAGACTGAAGGACAACAACTTGGCTGTTCCCTTCCCCAGTTCCCCAACACGGTTCCCCTTCCCCAGTTCCCCAATAAAATCTTAAAAAAAAAAAAGTTAGCTAGTGTTTATTGAGTGCTTACATTGTGGCAGTTCCCATGGATTATTTCTTTTCATTCCAACCACACTATGTGTGCTACTCCCATTCTATAGGCAAGGAAGCAAATTCTGAGAAACCCGTCAGCAGCTATAAAAGTCATAAAACTAAGGTTGCAAGCCTGATTGCAGGAAAGCTGATAAAAAAGTTTAAGTTGCTGGAGAACAAGGTCATCATGGGGCAAATTACAAAATATAATCGATTTAGTGAGACAGGTAGAATGGTATAATGAAAAGAGCCCTTGACTTAGAACCACAGTGCTAAATACTGAGACTCGAGTCCCTCGTCATAAGCTTGCCATGATAAAATACACCTACTAGAGTTGTCACTAGAATACTGAGAATATAAGGAAACATGCCTATCACTGCCCTTGACAGAGAACAGATACTATGATACTTTGTTTCCTTCTGTATCTTCAGTTCCCATTCCAAAATACAAGCAGATAAGTACAGCATAAGGGGATATAGTCAATAATATTGTAACAACTACGTATGGTGTTAGATGGGTACTAGACTTATGGGGTGATAATTTCGTGAGATATATGTCTAATCTCTATGTAGTATGCCTGAAACTAATACAATATTGTATGTCAACTGTAACTGAAAAAAATATACAAGCAAACAGCTCCTATCCATATAATGTAAATCCTCCCTGGACACTTCCCCCCTTTCTCACCCTTAACAGACTCATCCACAGAGAAACACCTTTCGAGGTGCATTTCTCTGCTGTTGCTGTGAGCGAAGAGTTTTCCTATCACTCAAAATCTGCTCCCTACTATCACTGCATAAAATTCTCTAGATAAAACATAACAGCAAAAATACTGTTATTTCATGCATTCAATATATAGGAACCAGGCGGTAGTAATTAAGTAGTACTATGCTAAGGCAGTTTAGAAGGAAAAATGATCATTAAAATAAGTAACACAGAACATTTCCAAGCAGGTGGTATCAAGACATGCAAGCACCATTATCTTGATCAGCAACTGGAGAAAGTAAACTTGATTCTAAGACTTTCTCCACCCCTCTTTCATAAAACAGAGACTGGCAGTCTAAACAAAGTCAGAGCTCAAAACAGTACGTGAAACATTCAGATGTTCTTGTTTTTCATTACATACATTCTCAGAGGGCTAAATAAACTACACAAGAGAGACTGTGCGACAACTAAACCTTATAAATCCGGTCTCCATGAACAGCCTTGATAAAACTCTGGCTTGAAATCAGATGTATGTTTTAAAAAGAAACTGTTCTGATAAGTTTCATTTTCAGGTGAAAAAAAACTGATTTAAAAGAAAAATGTCTTTAGTGAAAAGTTTACTATTGTGAAATATTTGCTTTGCCACTGAGAATGTGGAAGCTCCAATCGGTAGAAACCACCATTCCCTGAGGTCTGCAAACCTGCGTCTGTATCTCACTCACCCTGTGGCGCTCTCCCCTGTCCTGTGACTCTCAATCACAGCTACAAAGCTTTCCTTTCATTCCTGCCAAACCACTAGGTCTAAAAAGTGCGAAGCATATGACCCTTAACCATTTACGGGGAAGCTGCTAATCAACATGAGTCTTGTCAACATTCAACCGGCAAATCACAAACTTGCTTCCTAATCCAGAAGGCAGATGCTTCTCGTCCCCAATGAAATTGAAGGCTCCTCCCACACTCACGAGAAAGCTACCAGGTTTCAGTTCTTTCCTTCATTTTTAAAAAGACGAATAAAAATAACTAACTGAACACACGTGTTGTTCCTTCCACTCTTACATACATTCAAAATCCTTCCGTTTTCTTCTTCCTCTAAGTTAGAGAAATCCATAATAAATACGCTCACTTGAAAGGCATTACGAACTCATTTTGAGGACTGAGTTTTAGAAGACAGGCAGAGAGGTGAGCGAGCCGAATTCGATTCAATTTTCTTTTTTTCTCAAATTCCTGCATGCCGAGACAATTATGCATATCTGTTTGCAAACAATAAAAGCGTCTGGAATGCTCAACGATTCAAAGTGATGCGAGACACAAGAAACAGGCTCCATGCAGCTGGTGTAACTCCGTGCCACAAGGGCTGCTAGGGCAGCACGCGAGCCGGAGTCACAACACTGCAAGTCCAAGGCTCACCGCTGCCTCAAATCGCATCCGGTCCCATGTCCCAAAGCCAACGGGCTCCGTCGGAGGACGACCCCGCGACAGAGAAACACACAAACACTGGGAGCCCCTCTGGGAGGACAAGGCCGGGGATAAAGTGAGGGGAGACTGCGGGAGCGCGGGGAGGACGCGCGGCGGGTCCCAGGGAGAGAAAGGACAACGGGGTGGGGGTGGAAAGGGGCGATGTGGCAAAGGCGCAGAAACGCCGGCTGCAGATCAGGCCGACTGAGGCCACCATGGGGACCGCGGCCGGGGATTAGCGACCAGTGGGAGCGGGAGGTCCAGCCGCAGACTGAAGCGCCTGGGCTGGACCCGCGGTGCGCGTGGCCGGGGCAGGGGCGCAGGGCGCGTAGGTCACCTGTATTGTTTGAAAAGCTGGTCCGACTCTCTAAAGCCGTTATTGAGCAGCATGTTGATGCCGGCCAGGGCCAGCTCCGCGTCCTGGAGGGGCGCCGCCGCAGACGCATCTCCGTCGTCCCGCCGCCGCGGCCGCCGCTGCTCGGAGCCGGCCATGGGAGCGCGGGGCCGTGCGCAGGGCCGAGGCGAGGCGGGGTGGCAGCTGCTGCGGGCCCCTCGCGCGCCCGGAGCCCGGCTCTACCTGCCCTGAGCGCCGAGGAGCCGGGCGGCGGGGCGGGGCGCGGCGCGGAGGGAGGAGCCGGCCCCGCTGCAGCGCGGCGGGGAGCGTGGGCGCTCAGGCCGCCGCCTCCCGCCTCCCGCCGCCGCGGGGGATTACTCAGCAGCCGCCCGCCCGCGCCTCCCGCTCCCCTCGAGACGCCGGGCTCGCGCGGGCACCGAAGCTGAATTCGTTTCCGGGTATCTCCAACCCCGCGGAGCCGGGGTCGCGGCGGCCGCCTGCCCCACTTCCTGCAGCCCCCGTGCCCGCGGCCGCACGCCGCGCCCCTTGCCCGGCCGTCCCGGGCCCACGCGCTCCGCCTGCTCCGACACGCGCGCGGCCCCGAGGCCCGGACCTCCACGCCCTCCTCCACAGGGGCAGGACCCCGGGGTCTCTGGGAAGCAAGAAAGGGCAAGCGGGCTTGGAAAGAGGACAGGGAGCGCCTGGGTCACAGCGAGGGCGCGCGGCAGGAGCCGGCGGCCAACAGCCGGCGCGCGGAGGTTTTGTCCGGGGCACCTGGGACCCCAAGCGGCAGCGCCGGCGACCCCCGACTTCACTCAGTTCCTGGGGCCGCCCACCAGCCCGTGGCAGCCAATCCCCCGGGAGGTGGGCGGCGGGGGTGGCGCCTCTGCGCACCTGCCGGACAGCGGCCCAGAGCGCAGTGCTGAGAAACGGGCGGGGAGGGCAGGGCGCCCGTATGCGGGCGCCCACCCCCTGGCCTGACACCACCATTTGTGCGCCAGGGCAAGAGGACAAAATGGAAGCCCGTATGGCATACGCCTATATATTTAAAACTTATGAAATACGCTGTTCAAGTGTGTGCTACTCTCGCCCTGACACTTGCATATCAATGAAACGGTAAAATAAGTGAGAAGCTATAGGTTTTCATAAGACCGAATATCAAAGATGACTGAATTTAGTCATTATTGTATATGTTTGACTGTTCTGATAATGGGCTGGTTATGTCTGGGTGCGTAGTCATTCATAAATCGTATTTGTTTTTCCATAAATTCATTTTTCTCACCTTTATTTTAGCAAAACACTAAATATGTTGTTACAATCAAGATGATGTTCTTAATGTCAAATTAAGCCACGTTTCTTAAACCATTGCATTTCTTAGAGTGTAGTTTATCAATTTCAATTTGGAGAAACTTCGTTGAAGCATTTACCACTGAAATTGTTTTTAAAAATTGAAGCAATATTCATGTTTTGAGATAACCCATGAATTATAATATATCACATCCAACATTATAATGGGATCAATAAAATTACTGACAATAAAAATAATATAATTTTATCATCTAAGTTATTATAATTTATTTCGTGATTTGTGCCATCTCTTACCCACCCAGATATCTAAACCCATACAGTACTCCCAACATTCATAGACACACATTTAAAAGCAATGTGAATTGCTGTCACTCCTTAGCTGTCAGGTGTAAATGTTATGAAACCAGGCTAATTCTTGAGTACATCTGCAGCCACAAATTGGAGTACCAAAAGCAAGAAAATGGACGATTCTTACCCCTGGGAAACAGCACTCTGTAGTGCAGGCATCATTGCACTCATGCAACCTGAGAAGGATTTGACAAATTGACCTTTTTTTTTTTTAATCTATGCTCTCTTGGATTTAAATAGTGTTCCTGTCACACATCAGCAGTGTCACAGACCTTCATGGCATTCAGAGGCTGTAACTTTTGTTTTTAGGATACTGCACAAAAGATGAGCAGCATTTCCCTGGGGTCTGATCAATGTTAATGATGAAAATGAAGAGTAAGGGTCATAGGGTCCACTGAGCCAGCACTGAGTGCCAGATCCCTGGTGACAAAAGCGCCCATGTGTTCTTTTTTTTTTTTTTAAGACTTTTATTGGGGAATTGGGGGATGGGAACAGAACTGGGGAATTGGGGGAAGGGGAACAGACAAGTTGCTGTCCTTTTGTTCTTCAGTCTAGTTATGGAGGACGTTGCTTCACTGTCCCAAGTTGGCATCATCATTGCGCTCTTCCCAGGTGAGGCAGATCAGTCGCAGGCTTCTGGACGGCTGCTCACTGTGGCTGCTGGCCGCTCACGCTGGCTGCTGGCTACACACGGTAGCCCATGGCAACCCACTGCCACAGGGGCTGCAGCCTATGCCATCGCCAGCGACTCCCGGCAGCCCAGCTCCAGGTTGAGCTGTTGTTCAGCATCTTAGCTATGGAGGGCAGTGTCACTGGCCCTCGTATGTGGGATCCGAACCGGGGCCCGCTGGCATCCCAAGCCAGCTCTTAACCAACGCGCCACTCGGCCGGCCCCATGTGTTCTTTACTAAATTTATGTATGTGTATGTTTGGGTGGGCAGGGCCCTGTAATGCAGGTCCTATCCTATACTGGCCACGTGGCTCCCATGGGCTCTTACCAGAGAGGGTCGCCTGGCCACACATTGCCACCGGTCATGGGAACTGACGACATGCCTAGCACTTACAAGCTGCCTAAATTTTGGATTTGTGGAATCATCCACCCCCAAATTCCTGAAACAATCTAGTCAACAAGGGAGGGAAGCAAGGGAGCAATACGAAACTTAACAGATTGTCTGCACTCGCCCTCCCGGAGAAGGCAGCCACGCACAGTTATCTATGCTCCTGTTACTGGGGAGAGGAAAAAACAAAGTGAAGGCATTGATGGCACCATGGACATTGTTAACAAGTCGTATGTACCTGGAGCCCTGGAGCTAACAATAGGGGGCGGAGTGAGCAGAATCAAAGCAATCTTTGTGGTGCTAGTTCTGTCTCAAGAATCTTGCACAGTCAGTTTTGCTTATCCAGACAGTGAAATTTAACTGTTGAATGATTGGGGCAAGGTCCAGTGCTACTGTCCAGCACCCCCATATCTAGGTGGCTGCAGTAATGTGGATAGAAGACAACTGCCATACACTATACACCAGGTAAGTGCCATATTGGATTTAACCAGATACCAAAACCATTACATTAGCAACAGCATCATGGACATTTTCAAATATCGGTTCTATGATAAGGGATACAAAGAGGATTGAAAACTGGGCCCCACAATCCTGAAGAGAAACAACACATGAACCAGAAATTATACTTGCTGCCGCTGTAATTGGCACTGACACCTGCCCAACGCTCACCTAGCAGGTGGGGAATTAAGGCTGATGGTGTTTTCTTCACCAGATAATAATGACAGATATTTAAGAGGTCATAGAATGTATTACCTACAAAAAGAAGGGAAATCTAGATTGTGAATACATTAGGACACCATACACTTAAGCATGGGAGATTCTCAGCACCTTCCTGCAGAACGAAAGCAGTCTTCTGTGCACTTAGCTTCAGCCTGGTAGGATTTACCCAAGTGTTTCCTTTGGAAGAGGAGGGGAGAGAGGGAGCAGTAAGGAGGGGAGAGGAAAAGCTCTCAAGTGAAAGAACCTTTCTTTTCTACACGCCTCTTGTCAGTGTTGTCAGTATTTTGTGGTTCTTCATGAGATTTCATTATGAAAATGAAATTCCAAGTCCAAATGATCAGTGAAAACTTTTAGATGTGTATGTCCCTTTACATGGTAGTCTCTCTCTCTCTCTCTCTCTCTCTCTCTCTCTCTCTCTCTATATATATATATATATATATATATATATATATACACACACACACATATATATGTATATGTATATATATACATACATATATATGCTGTTTTGGTGGCTGCATTCTCAGACAGGCTCTTCCCTTCTTGTCCCAAAACAGCTGGAAACTCCCAGGGCTACCTACTTGCTCCTTCATATCCAGTGGGAAGGCATAACCGATGCTTAGTGAAAATCCTTTAATTGAACCTCATTGGCTTTGATTGGCCTGATTGTGGCCAGGTGCTCATTCTTGAGCCAATCAGTATAGTTAGGAGGTAGCTCATTATGATGAATTAAGCCAATCAGAGCTTGCTTCAGAATCGGGGAGGTTTTGGAACCAATTCTCTGCAAACTCCATTGCTGGAAAATTTTAGTTCTATTAGGAAAAGGGAGGTAGGGAATGGATGTCAGAGAGACAACTAACAAACATTCCTTACCCTTGTCTTCCTAAACATGTTAATAGTTGGGGAGATTACAGTTTAAATGCATTTAGAGCGTATGCGACCTGAAGAAAATCTTGTGTGCTTAAGTTATATTAAATTTTTTTAGTAGTTCTAATAACCATGCATTAATGTATCTTTTTGTAAATCTGCACTATCAGTTGAAATAAATACAGCTTCCTAGAATGCCTGGAATTCTAAAAAGGAGGAGAGCAGGGTAATTAATGTCACTATGTTTTCAGGTTACACTAGCTGTGCTATCAACTGAGCCCTCTTGCTCTCCTAAAGGTGGGGTAAGATTTAGTTAACTGCTTTCAATTACAAGGCAAATCAGGTCAATGGTGGATATATACAACTATATACCAGGTTCTTTCCTTTTCTACTGACAGGTGGGTCACTAGCTGGCCTCTACAGTGGGGAGCACGTGGTGAACCTGAGGGGTCTGCCTGGCTGTTTCTCCTGGAGGATATATGTCTTTGACAGGACTCTCATGCTGCCCTAGCCATGACCATGGAGCAGGAAACCATCCCCCTTGGAGTGGACACTCCACATCTGCCTTTCCCCAAACCACATACCCAGTGGACACAACATGGGTTTAAGCAGGTGCTTATAGAGTTTAGATCACTGCTCTGCTGCTGTGTAGATTCAGGGGCAAGACTGGGAAGCAGGCATTATGTCCCTCCTCCCATTGTTTTCCGCCCCGGTAGCTCAAGCAGTGAGGCCTTTTGCCCAGTCCTTAGCTGGGGTGTGTCTTTGAGTGAGAATATGGGTCCTTTCCTGGTCTTCAAAGGGTTGCTCTCTCTCTTTTTTTACTCTCCTCTCTCTCCCTTCACATTCCTTTTGCCTTTCTTCTTGCGTCCCTTCCCTTTAACCTGTCTCCTTGCTTTTCACTGATACTTGCTCTTCCCCGGATCTAGCATTCATTCCTCCCTCCTCCTTCCAGAGATAATT